ATTTTGTAACTTGTGTGTGGTATTTATACTCAAACTATAAAACTAAGAATTAATAGAGAATATTCTGAATTACTTATGTTATAGTAACGTCCTCTCGACTTTACCATCATTTGGTAAAGTTAAAACTCAGCCAACCAAGCTGAAGTAATGTTCTAATATAAGAGATAGGGATTTTATAAAATATAACTTACGGCCAGGGTTCTAAGAATGGCTCCCATCCTGATAAGTTCCTGTTATAATAGGAACCTATAATATGTAACTTGGCTTTACCTTCAATATTGGGCTCCTGGTTTTGACTGATATCTATTCCTATAATAAAATAGAACAATTCTACCTCAATATTTATCATCATAAATAACTGAAATAAATATCTGTACTACTTTTCAAAAAGAGAATTATAAAAATGTATCTGTAGAGGGATTTCTAGCGTGCACGGAATGTTGTGTTTTGGATCTTGGAATATTATAACCTTTAATCAATAGGTAATAAAACCCTTTCCCTCTCACTGACTAGATTAAACACCAACACTGATAACACTGATAACACTGATAACACTGATAACACTGATAACAATGATAACAATGATAACAATGATAACACTGATAACAATGATAACACTGATAACAATGATAACAATGATAACACTGATAACACTGATAACAATGATAACACTGATAACAATGATAACACTGATAACAATGATAACACTGATAACACTGATAACACTGATAACAATGATAACAATGATAACACTGATAACAATGATAACAATGATAACACTATATAAATAAAACACTATTATGGATATACTACTCCTCTTTAATTTAAGCAACATTTCAATTCGCATACTATATTTACAATATAGATCAACTAATCAACAATCTGAAATGTAAAACGTAAACTCGAATTCCCAACAACATATTAGTGAAACATTATTTGCAGCTAATGAACTTTGAATAATATCTCACCATTGATGGAAATTTCAGCCAATGGAACGTCGGCCCCGCAGTCATCAATAAGACAGAAATATACACTAGTAGCTTTAATCTGAAATATATTATATCGTTATTATTATCTGAGATTCCTCAATCATCTTTACTTTCTTTATATCTCAGTTTTCTCATTTTTCTCATAAGTTTTAAGTCCAATATTGGACTTGAAGATTGTTTTGAATCAGGCATTGGCAGATTATGATGAGCTCTTGTCAATTAGCTAATAGTTAAGTCCTACATCGAAAATTGACCTCCATATAAAAAAGATGTCCTCATGAGGATTGTGTATCTGAAGTATGTGTCTGTATCTCTTGTCAATTACTAGATTTTGTCAAACACTTAAGAATTAAACGTTGATATCAATAGCATAATTAGTGTGTTAACACAGTTGATCATACCACAAACATATATAACTGATTTCAACATTTATTCAGTTTATCACCAGATCAATTTCAGCACAGGTCCTTCAGAAAAAAAACATTTACATCATGGCTAAAATAATTTAAAATATTTTCCTTACCTCTACACCAGTTAAGGCAAAGTCAGAATTTTTCTCTTTCTTGGAGATGATTTTGGCGTGTTTGGTTAACCACATTGCGGCCTCGTCTACGTTACCATGACAATATTGTAAGGCATAAAAACAATCGTTCTTGTCGAAGCCAATAGACATCAAGTGTTGTACATCACCTTGGGGATAAAATACATTCATTAACTTTCAACTTACAGAAAGGAAAAATTTATCATAAATTAGACATCAGTCAGTTTCTATCGATTTTACCCTAAACCCTAACCCTAAGTCCTGTCCATGAGATTTAGTCAGCTAAATTTACTTCAAGAGCCTATATACTGGAGAATATTAGACAGGTTTAACTTACTGTTAGAAGAATGGACATCTATTTTAGTACAACTAGAAGATTGTTTAGCCTGTAGAGCTTGCTGTGGTAGAGAATTCATGATAGATT